GTGGTAATTGTGCTAAGTTGCTGACTACTATGACGTTTATACCCCCGAATGGGCAATTATTTTTATGGAGGGATTTGAATATTTCAGAGATGTAAGTTAGCATTGGGCCAGATACTATTGATATTTCTTCAATTATGAATGTGTGAATTTGTCAAAGGGAATTGCTGAAATTAGGGTCATGGAAGGCAAGAGACGAATTCCGTGTTTATTAGATATGATTTTTAATGTTGAATATATAGTTGATCCACCAATATTTTGTGCAGCAATTCCTGTGGATGCTATTAATAAATAGTTATGATTGATGTTTTGAAGGTGATTTAATAGTAGATAAATGATAAATGATTTGCCAACTCCTGCTGGTTCTGTTATAAAGAAATAAGGGTAATGCGAGCTATCTTGCGGGCTAAGATAATTTGTTATTGTTTGAATACAGTGGTATTGACTTGGAGGTAGGTTAATCATTGTATTTAAAGGTAGGGTTCGCGGTAAAATTTTAATTGAGTCTAATTGTGATTCAATTAGGTCGAGAATGTTAGATAATATTATTTGTTGTAGTGATAAGATTATGGTTTCAATTAATGTGTTGAATTGGTTTGTGGCGTGTGTTGTTTGGTTTATAATGAAGTCTCGATTTTGTTCTTGTATAGATTGATATACGTTTGGAAATCGGGCTAAGAAGTGGTCACAATAAGATGAAAATTCAGCATATAAGTTGGATTCTGATCTACAAGAGAGTCTTAATATAAGTTGTTGATAAAGGAATGGTTCACCATGTTCTAATCGTACAAATCGTATACGTGCAAGTATGCGATTTGTACACTTTACGACAGTGTTTCTTAGTTGATCACAGTATGTTATTCTTTGGGATGTGATTAAGTTTGTTTTTTTAATTTCATATAATTCATAATAAGTTTTGTAGGTCATATCATCAAATATTGTATCAAGAGGTCGAGAAAAATATTTTTCTATTTTATCATTCCAAAATGGATCGTTATCAAGTGGATCAATTATGTGTAGAAGTAAAACAGCTTTAGAACGAACCGTTGGAGGGTTAGTTGTTAAATATTGGACTTGTATTAATGAATTTACAATTCGTTCATTAAGTAGTAGAAACATAAGTTCCATTGATCCCATGTGATGTGCATGAATATATTCTCGATAATATAACTGGTCATATATATTAAACAGGTGGGTTGGTTCTGATTTACTAATGTATTTTGTTATATATCGGGCAAGTCTTTTATCCGTTATATATTGGGCGTTCATATGGGCATTCCATATCATGAGAGTTGAGGTGTGATATGGAACTACCCATTGGTCTTCAGGAGTTATACAGCGATATGTATATCTGTAGTTTGATGGGTCGTAGTAAGTACATTCTGCAAATAGACGAGGAAATCCCTTTTTACATGTGGAACCTGATAATACCGGTCCTCCACATTTTGAATTGCATGTGTGTATTTGTAGGGTACGAACTTTTTGGTAAAGTTCTGGTTCTTGATTGGGATTCAGAAGTGTTGATTGTATATAGTGTTTGTAGTCGATCCAAATTTATCGACTAGACTAAGTTGATATTTAAAAATCAGCTTAGCCGGCTAAGTTGTAGTCGATCATCCTAATTGGTTAATTAAAGCACGTGATTTAAAAATAGATATGATTGGTCAATTACTTATTGAATCTGGTACATACATATATATCAGTTTGTAGTTAATCATTATTATCGACTTAATTAAAAACTCGGCTTTGCCAACTAAGTCGAAGTCGATCATCTTTATCTTAAACTTTTAGAAATTATTGAATTGTTTCCTTGTATTTTATGTTCATTGAATTTCTTCAGGGAGGATAATATAAACTACCAAATCGGCCTAAATTTGATTGGTTATTGTAATTTTCAATATAGTCTAACATGAAATCGACTAAGTTGATTTTTTGAAAAATCGGCTGACTAAGCCGGCTAAGCCAATAAAATCGACTAATGCAAAATCGACTACAAACACTAATTGTATAGTGTTTGTGATAATCATTGTTGATATATTATTAGTTGTCCAATAGACACCATGCAGATGCGCGGCTCCACAATTTTAGAATTCTATTCTGTTGAAGAAATGAGTGTAGGTCTTCCATTCACTGATATCGGGATCTTTCCAAATATATTTTTTAAGATTTTGTAGTTTATGGATAAAGTGTAAGGTTGTGTGTAATGGCCTATTGGTTAGTAGAGTGTTTTTGTTATCAGTGTTAGCTAGAATATTATGGAGATGGTATCAATGTCCTTCGGCTATTGATAGTGTGATAAATATAGATGGAAGGCCTAATTCGCGGATCATTATATTTAGATGCATTGTTTTTTGTTAGAAGTAGGTACTTCCTATACGAATAAATGAGGTGATTGTGTATGTTTTTGATTCATTATAGTGCTATTCATTGGTATATGTGCTTCTTTTAATAATTTGAATAGCTGTAGGTGTGCTGTGAATTGTATTAATATTTGATTGTCAAATCAATCGTTGTCTATTTTGAAAGTTTCTAAGTTTTTCTAATTGCAAATATGCCCATGCAAGCCAATAATGGTGTAAACGAAATCGCGAATCTTTGGATAGTAATCTGTGTTTTATATATTTTCCGAATGTGTCATAATTATATCAGATGTTTTCTAATTGGTTTCTCATTTCGTAGTAATATCCATGTCCGTCAGGGTATAAATCGGGAAAAAGCAGTGGTTCGAGATGGTGATCATTTAGAGTGATTGGAATTTTGTTCGATTCATTATCTTCTAAGAAGCCAACCATTAATCGACTGTAATGTGCATCTTCATTGTGTATTTCTGTAGGAAAGTTTTGGTGAGGGACTACTATATCACCGCGTTGAAATGGGGATGCATTTTCATCATCGGGTAGGTGAGTTGCTGATGGGAAAGAGTTAGATATATTTATATTTATGGGAATCATTCTTGAATATGCACGCAGATAAGGGTTGTTTTCTTTGAGCCAATTTGAGGCATTTGTTAATGAGTTGTCGAGCCAAGATAGGCGTGTAGTTTGATTGTTAGATGAGAATTCGGTTGTGGGATTTAAATATGCACCTAGTATTCCTGAGTACAGATTAAATGTATGTATGTTTCGAGAGTAGTTCATAGTACCTACTAAAGACCTGTATTCAGAAAAAGGGTTTGCACCAGGTGTACGACCCAAAGAACAATACAAGAATATGGGAGATAAGTATTTACGTTTTTCTAGTGAAACGGAGTTAATTTTTGGTAGAATTTGAGAAAGGTAAGGAGGGTAATTACGAGTTTGATTACGTTTATATGAGGAGCATATAGGATTCGGTTTGCGGGTGGGTTAGGATTTGTTATTAAGTGTTCAGTTGGATATGGGGTGATAATAGGATATTGAAAATTTAGATTTCGCAGAATCCATTCAGCTTTTTCTGGGTACATAAGTTTGGAGCAGATTGAACAGGGGATGCATGGAAATTGATGCAAAATGGTAGTTTCGAATTGATTTATTATTTCGCGCATTTTTGTTGAGATTGACCAAATTGTTGGTGGTGTCACATTTAGTAAGGTTTTATTTTGTGATTCTGTTAATTGTAATAGTGTATTATCAGATACGTTTATATTAAAGGTTCATTCACCATATTCAAGAGGTTCAATTTCTAAAATTTGATTCACAAAAAAGGACATTTTATGGGTAAGCGTTTTGAGTTTATTAACCGAGTTGATTGTTGATGATTAGTTTTTTTTGGTTTGAAAATAGTACAATTTTTGACGAAGAGAGTTTTGTTTCAGCTATTTATATACGAATATTTATTTATTTCTTAGATTGTAATTTATGATTTTGTTGCAGATGAATTAGTTTGAAGTAAATGGTTTTCTAAGTTTGTTTGATATACATTCGCGATTTTACTGTGCCAAAGTTGGATAGTTTAATTTATTTTATTTTTCTATATTATCTATTTACATAATGGGTGATGTATTTTATACGTAGATTTTTTTTTTTTTTTTTTTTTTTTTATGATTTCTTTAAATATACTTGATGATAATAAAGGGAAAATTTTTTGATTTAGTAATAATAATATTTTATTTATCGATTTAATAGTTATAGCGTGAACTTCGTTCTAACTGATAAGGGAGAGTCAAGTATTATAGCGCAGTTTAAGAATTGCATATATCGAAATTTTAGATACGCACGTACGTAAAATATGTTTATTTACTAAATTTAGCGAAATAAAATAAGATAGTTTATTTAATGTCTAAAAAAAGAAAAGCTGTATAATGTGTAGACTGCAATGCTTTTGTTTTATAGTTCAGTGATTAGAATTGCGATATTTTTATATGATTTGAATTGATATTTTTTAGATTTTACGATTTGGCTAATTACATATTCTGAAATCTAATATATAAATATAACACAAAAGAAAGAATGTCCGGAAGTATATTTATTGAATGATATCATATTTCGAAGAAAGAAATTTACTGATAGATATTTCTTACAGATAATAAGTAAAGTAAAAAAGAAATATAAAAACCAAAAAAAAATTGCTTACTATAGTATTTTTTTTTTTTTTTGTACAATTATAAGTTTAAATAATAGAGTACATTTATTCACCGCACCCAGCGATGTTGCTAATTTACTGCCTCTCACATGATCGACCAATCAAATTTTAAGATCAGGTGTAATATAGCACAATTAGAAAAATTCAAAACAAACGTTCGCTTTGTCAAAAATCATTTATAACACAAAACTTCATATATGAAACTACTCTTCGTGTTTTAACAAAAAAAATTCCTCTCAAAATTTTACTTAAAATTTTTTTTCAAACCTATAAACTACTTTAACCTCACTCTAACCTTAACTAACGATAAAACTGGTTGTTTTGATTTTACGTTATACCTGATTTTATGATCTGCAGGGATGCAGCAACAGCACATGTGCGGTATATAAATTGTCTCTAAATAATAAATGTTATTAATAAATTTTTAGATCATATAGATATGATTATGCATTTTTAACCATATCCTTTATTTCTGGTTGTATATTATTAGGCGGAGAAGTTGCTGCTTGTTCATCTGAATTAGTTAGTGCTTCTTTTGCCAGGTCTGTCAATTTTCGACAAGTCCTAGTTCGAGTACATGGTTTGGCGATTTTGGATGAAGGTTTGATTGGAAGTTTATTTTTGATTGTGGATAGTTTTTTTTTGTTTTTAGAGTTGGTGGTGGAAGGGTTAGTTATAGATGAAGTTTCATTTATAAATAATGAATCTTCATTTTTAGTACTTGCTTTAGAACTCGTGGGAGAAGGTCCAGTCACAGATGAGATTTTATTTACAGACAATGAATCTTCATTTTTGCTATTTACATTAATTTTCATGACGATTTTCTCAGTGATGCTTTGAGATTTTATTGCTTCGTTTGACGTTTCAGTTTTCCATGAAATATTTACAGGGTTTAACAATAACTTTTGCTGGTCTGAAAAGGACATGCTTCTGACATGTACATAATTATTATTATTATGTAAGATGAATTCCTCTAATGAAGAAAACAGAATTTTTTTTTATTGTAGGAGTTATTCGTATCAAATGTGGTGTAGAGGCTAAATAATAACAGTCTATTTCAATAGTAAATGAATCTTGATCCACATGATCGGTAAATGTGACAACCATAATAGCATCATTATCTTTAATTACTGGAGGGTTTCGTACTTTTACGATCATGTTTATCAAGATTGGGAATTCCAGGATACAGCTTAGATTTACGTCAAGTTTTATAAGATCATTCAAAATAATCTAGGTTTGTATTTTTATATTTAATATATATATACATATAATTATTGTTTACAAGTAAAAAATAGTAATATTGGGTCTTTGTCTTGAAAATGACCTTACGGTATTATGTACTGTAAAGTCATTTTTAAAATAAAAAGTTATATGTTTTTTTTTTGTTTTTTTTTTTTTAACAATATAAAAACAAAAGATTTTAATTATACTTTGGGAATTGGAATGTTTCCCTCTTCACTTGCATATTTAATGATTCAAAATTTACCTGTTGCCAAAACGGTATTTCCTTCTTCAAATTTTGGAAGATCAAATTCTTCAGGGAATCGTGGTTATAAAATCCTTTTAAAAGAATTCTCTGGGGCGAGTTCAAGCTTTGAGAATTCATAATTCCCAAAGCTTCAACGATTTGGAAAGATTTGACAACATTACATCAATAATCATTGACATAGTATAGAACAGTAATATTACCTGACATTATTTTTTAGTGTAAGGTTATTTATTTATTTTTTTATTTTATTTATTTTTTTTTTTTTGGAGAAAACAAAAAGAAAAGCTTAAAATTTTTTATTTTTATAGACATTTTTCGTGTGAATAATTTTTTTTTTGCTCTTTAAAACTTTTTGGAGTGTGTAAGTATAACGTGTTGCGTTAGCTAGTAGGTTTTTAATTATTCACGTAAGAGATTTGTAACTGTTAGTTTTAATGCAATTTTGGTTACTTTTGTTTGTAACGGTTCAATTTTTTTATGTACGCATTTGATCGTTAATATTTAATATTTAATTAAATATTTATAACATCATTAAAGAACGAAAAAATGTTGAAATAATTATCGATTTGATAATTATGCAGTTGAATTTGCGTTATGATCCAGTTATGATATTTTTTTTTTTCTAAAATAAATATAATTCTTGATCGTAACTTGATCATTTAGATTTCTGGCATTTACGCATATTTAAATTATATTTTTTGGGTATGATTTTTCAAAAAATGTCATAATATAAAGAGAATATGAAGTTGAATTATTTTAAAATGATATCATATTGAATATAATAGTTGAATATAAAATAATAATATGAGTTGTATCAAATTGTATGATTCCTAAATCGGGAAAATGATTTAATATAATTACGACATTCTATGGGACAACATTTACTTCAAATATTTTAGTTATTTTTTTTATATTTTTTTTTCTCAGACAAGACAATATTATTATTATTTAGATTAGTCAGATTAGTTATTAGTAGTAGCAGTAGTAGTAGTAGTGATATTTTCAACGAATTCCTTTGCTATGTTCTTCGCTTGGTCTTTAACAATCAGAGATTATCATTTTATCAGACCATAAAAAAATCTGACAGAAAAAAAAATATATTAATAAGATAAATCAACATGTAAATATCAATAAGAGCAGTTATAAAAATAAAAAAATGATGCTTTTCAAATATCATTTGATATTTACTCATTACTCGTATTAATTTTTTAGTTACATTTACAAGAGCTAAAGCTCTACTGAGCTCTAGCATCTATCATTCACAAAAAAATAGAGAAAGTAAAAATTTCCTTTTTGGGTTTTGCGAGGAAATTTTTACTGTTGATCCTTGCAAAATAGTGATACAGATTATAAAATTCGATTAGTAAATTTTCCCTTATGTAAAAAAAAAGTGATCACACCACACGAAGGCAATTATATAGCATTATCAAATACGGTAATGATAGCTATGCCAAACTTACAAAGTGCTAATGATTTGCGTACACCTTGATGTACATAATATTACAAAAACCAAAGTAGCCATTCATTATTAATTAAAACAAATTTAAAACTTACTTGGGATGTTCAAAATTCAGAAACTTGTTTTGTACAGTAGTGCCTCTTTAATTCCTTGTAAAGTTGTTTTACAGGACCTGGTGCATGTCCTTGTGAAGATGATGAGAAACCATCTGCACCAAAAGCAATAACTATTGCATTATTATAAATATCTTTCTTACACCCAATTATTTTCGACATAAAATAGACAGGGCTTTTTGTTTTCCAATATAATTATCATGTTTATTTTGTCGAAATCATCTAGCTCCGTAATAAGTGTGAAGCATTTCATAACTTTGAAGTATATATTGCAAGTGATTGACATTATAGATGGGTGATGAAATTATTTTCGCAATGACGAATTGACGAAATTATAAGTGACGAAATTATTTTCATAGTAACGAATTGACAAAATACTTATTTCGCCAAATTTCGTCAATTTCATCACCAACTTTAGATGAAGCTCACGAAGTAGGAATGCTGTTTATAATTTTGATATTATTAGGTGCCTAATCATGAGATTATGTGAAATATATAAAATAATGTAGTAAAAAAAAATATATGAAATATATAAAATATTATTTTTACTTTTTTTGAATGTTTTTTTATACTGTTTCTTGATATTGTTTAGTACTAGATTATACAACCCATTCATTATTATCAACAGCTATAAATAAATCTCTTTTTCCAAGATCAAATCCAATGATTAGTTTTTTTTTTTTTAACTAGCCTTTTTGGGGCTAAGGTTTTTATTCAAGTATTATTGAGTAGAGGCTCATAGCTATTAGCTTCAAAAGAACACTTCTATATTAAAAAGTATATACTAGCTACATGTATACTTTTGGTGTTTATTTTAAGTAGTCTGTCTACAACTTACATTATAGGTTTTACACTAGGTGTTATACAACTACAAGCATTACCTATTTAAATTTTTGGTAATGCAGCTCTGTTTGTATTATTGATATATTTTTATTATATTTGTCAGTTGAGAAGTTTCAGATTCTGATTTGTTTTTTTAGAACTAATTTATCTTTGAAGTATTATTGCTAAAGCTTTTTATACTTACAATTCAGTTAACTTAAATTTTAATAACTTATACTGAGTTCAAAAACAAGTACTTGCAGCAAAAATAAATACTTGTAGCTATTTATTTCTACTATCATTATCTATTTCTGCTCTTGTAGAGTTTATCCAAATCTTAATATATACTTTACAGACTATTAATAGTATTTTCAGCTATTTCAAATTTCTAATTCAGATAGCCTAAAAGAGCTGTGACCTGCTTTTAGTTCCTATAGTTGAATTTTTTTTTTAGTTAATTTTTTGATAGCCTGATTAATAGAATATTTTGCTAAACACTTTAATTCTATTTAATTTATTAGTTTTCTAAATAATAATTCTTTATATAATACTATTGAAGATTTATGCTATTTCTTTATTCAAATTTTGTCAAGTAAACTTTCATATCTTTTAATCTGTTAGTTTTATACAGCTACTTCATTCAAGTTTTGTATAATTTATATATTATATTATTATTTCATAACCTTATAATTCAAGCTGATATGATTATATTACAACTATAAACTCAATAAAATATAGTTTTTCAAATACATTCTATAAATTCAAATTTTATTATTAATAAAATTTGAACTTTTTTGTCTTACTGCTTGAAAGTATAATAACTTACTAACTACATTAAGTTATTATATCTTTGTAGAATTGATTTTTTAATTTTAATAATAACTAGTATATAATCCGTGCCTCTGGTACGTAGGTTGTGTGAAATATATGAGCTTCCCAAGTTATATAATAATTTAAATATTTTCTTATTAGTATTTGATATAACAATGATAAACACTATAATTTAATTATTCGGAATAGTATATAAGTTGTGCCTCAGATTAATGCTTGTATTAGATGTCGTTTTGCCTAAGTATAATTGCTACCCTAATAGTAATAAATTTTTATGATAGTAAGTAAAGGTACAGTGATATAGTTTTATGTTACACTTGAATTGCCTACAATAAGCAAAGATTGACATAAAATGCACATATATATGTATTTAGTTACTATATTGTTGATCAACATCTTATATATGATACGTGAGCCAATCAAACTACTTGTTTATCTCCTAAGTTTTATCACATCATAGCTCCTTAATATTTTATAGATAAATCATTTAAATTTTTTTTTCCACTTAGGCTGTCTTGCCAGTAATCCTTTATTAAGATTATTGTATTACAAGTATGACACAATGTTGAGCTTAATATTTAGACATGACATTTTACAGCTATTTTAAGAGTACTTATAAGCAACCAGCCACACTAAGCCAAACTTCCATTAAAGAATCTTGATGATTTAGATTAATGATCTAAGCCAAATAATTTAAGTCAATCTCAGAAACAATGTCAAACCACTGTTCTACAATAGAATATCACCAATCTGATGACATCTTCTTGTAGAGAAGTGAAAAAACAAAAAAATTTACTAATACTAATACTAATTCTAAAAAGGTAAAAAAAAAAGAAAGAAAATTAATACTAGAAAACAAATACAAAGATAAAAGATAAAGTAAAAAAAAATAAAATAAAATCTGACATTCACAATTATCAGCCTGTATTGGGCCTTAAAAAATTATATATTACTAGATAAAAATGCTTTATAATATTCTCTATTTTAATAAACTATACTTAAGGGGTAAAAAAAAGTTAAAAAAGTTGGCTAAAACTAGATACCATAGTTAATCTAGATAGAGTTAGCCCGAAATTTGAACCAGTAGTCTTACAGTATTGT